GTCGTGTAGTAAAATACAGTGGCAATGAGAATCCTCAAGCAGCTACAGGATTTGCTTTTCCCAATAACCTAACAGAAAAACTTAGACTTGACCAGCATACAAAGAAAAAGCTTCAAATGTGGTCACTATACCAATGAAAAGACTTCAAGAGTGGAATATATTCAACTTTTTTTGACCCAAGTATATTCAAATGGATCCATGAATATCATGGAATTTTCAAACAAATTGACATCAGGTCAATGGTTATCAAATATCTATAAGTTATATACAGTGTTAAAATTCTCCACATTATAAAAACCAAAAAAAAAAACCTATGTTTCTAAATCCAATGGGCTGTCATTCTTACATGAAATATACATCCCTCTTCCCCCACCACTCCATATTTAGAAACCTAAGCTAGAAAGGCAACCTGTTTTATGTGTGATTGTGTTTATTACAGAAATCAATGGGATTATAGTGAATAAAAATAAACATTTAAAAATATACTTACTGGAAGGGTATGGCTGTGGTCTGCGCCTTTTTGAAGGACAAAGGCAATCTGCCACAAATATCATGCACTGCAAAAATAAACATAAGAAGTATGAATGTACAATATAAAGCTAGTGAAACTATATTGAATTATGAAATTCTAAAATATTTTTCTTCCCAGTACTCTGAAAATGAAGTGCTTACAAGTCCTAATAATAGTCCCGAAAGCAGAGTTGCTAAACCAAACACTGTATATGATCCCCAAACCGGCAATCCAAGGTCTTCAATAAAATAGTTATGGTAAGTCTAAAATCAAAAGAAAAATATAAACTAAAAACATGGTCATTTCTTAAAAAGTGACAGTATCAAAATGTTTAAAATAAAAATAAAATTTTAGCCCATACCCTGATCCACATAGACAGCTGAAAGAGTGCTGACATACTGCTCATCCTAAAATAAAGAGACAAGTGAAAAACTGAATCAGATACACAGCTTTGAAGTAAATACATGTGTGTTACCTATATCTTCTATTTTTTACTCTATAACTTCCCCAACACAACAGATTTTATTGCTGATGTTACTCAAGATTAGTGATACATCAGTGATTTCAAGCCCATAATAAGAAGGCTTGTTAATGGAAAGTCAGTTTCTGAATTTTTGCCACTATGTGATATCCTCATAAACAAAACACTTGATCTTTTTTTTTCCTTTTCTCCTATTGTTTTGACTATAACCTTTCACCTGAGATTTCTCCAATATACTTTGAGTACAGGTTACAAGCTCTATGGAACAAACTGGTTTGAAGTTAGGCACACTGTAAGCAAATGGCAACTCTTATTCACCCTTAAAATCTTCCAAAGAAGTAGAGAAGGGAGCCTGAAGGAAGACTGGGAGCACTTGCTGAGTTGATCCTTCCCACCTAAGAATTACCCTCCTTTTGTATTAAAATTAAACTTACAACAGCATTAGTTTGATATAGTTTAATGATATACAAAATAATTACACAAGAAATAAACGCTAAGTTACCATATAAGTAAAATGGTAAAAGTAAAAGTAACAATTTTCACATAATGAAACCCAAGTAGCTTTGATGGGCAGTTAGAAAAGAGGCCTGCTCCAAAACTTAGCTTTGTGCGTTCTCTCTAGCAGAAGTGGAGCCACTTACACATAAACTAATTCACACACAAGCCAGAGGTCCTGCATGCAGGATAGCCTAATCCAATCACTGATCTCTGGGTGGATGAACCTGCTAAGCTGACCCTGGGAGCGCCTCTTACTCAGTCTACCAATAATAAAGGTATAGACTGCTGTCCGGAGGAGTCAGCGGAGACTTACAAGTGACCCCCACTTCCTCGACCAGAGAGGGGAAGAATCATTTATGACATGAGATTTCAAACAAAAATCAGTTACATTTTCAGTCCAACACAGACAGGTACATTAACCATGTTGCTTCTGTTCTTTAAAACACAAAATGGGAATAGGAACAAGGAACTGAAACATGAATCACTGTGTTGTCTCACTGTAGTCTGTGCTAATTAGAGTCTATCAGGAAGAGCAGGTGCCTTATTTGGGTTGGGCATGGTGGCTCAGTGGGGGAATTCTGATAGTTCAATTCAGAGGTGTAAGGAAAAGGTCCTAAAGATGAACTTTCTTTTTCAAAATACTGCTTAGGGATGATCATGCCCCCACTCCCAGATCCAGAGCATTATCGCTTACACTCTCCATCCTCCAAAGGCAAGTGTGGTAAGAGGACAGGAAGAGACAGCTTAGCCACACCAGGATGAGTCCATGGTGGCCTCAGCAAAACTCAGTATTCCCAGAGGTCTCTCAAATGACCTGTGAGGCCTTGCTCCCCAAGAAAGGTTCAGAAAATGTGCCAGTTATGCCTAATCCTACTACTCCATAGCAAGCTGCTATGGAAAAACATACCCTCTACCTACATATAAAGCTCAGTGGTTAGTCATGTCATTAGGCTCATTGTTCATCCATACTATTCGTACAAAAAGCTATCAGACAGGTGGAATAATTCAATCACATTAAATCAAGAACTTAAATCTAAAGGTAGCATGAATAGGTATATGGTTGAGGCTTCTCATCCAAATGCTAAGCTCAAATGATAGGGACTTCCCTGGTGGTCCAGTGGTTAAAACTCGACACTCCCAATGCAGGGGGCCTGGATTCGATCCCTGGTCAGGGAACTAGATCCCGCGTGCCGCAACTAAGAGCCCATATGCCTCAACTAAAGATTCCACATGCCGCAACTAAGACCTGGCACAGCCAAATAAATATTTTAAAAAACAAAACCAAAAACAAACAAAAAAAACCCTCAAATGATAGTTTTACCTATTATATCGCTCACACTCTTAGGGGGATTTATTAGTTTTTGATGATACAAATGACCATATTTACAAAACTAAAATATTCCTAAAAAGACTTTCAGCTTAATTCTATAGAATGCCTCCTTCTACATTAACATGGATCACAGTATCCACTGGACTTAGAAGATAAAGTCAAACTGAAAATATCACATAGTAAATCTGAACATATCTTAAGAGTCCTAGAATTAAAACTAAGTAAGTGTGCTTTATTTACATGAAATATATGTCCCAATTAATCCTGAAATAAATAAGAGGAAAACCCCTCATACTTACAAAACAGAACCTGGACCAACCCATGATGAAACAGGTTCAATACTCTTCCACTCTTTTTCACTTATAAAGTTTATGAAGTCCTTCTTAGTCCTTGGGCCCTGATAGCGCCTAAATTCACCATTTTTACAACTAAAGAAGATCACAAGTAAATATTAATCAGCACCACATAAATAAACTTTGTTTTGCTATTTCTATAACCTCATTTTACAATCAATCCTAATCTTCAAAATCATCAGCAATGCAGAAGTAGCAAGTTGCACTAATTACCTACCCTTGACATCTTAGCCCCAAATTTAATTAAACACTGAGGTTATATTTTTAAACAATCGTAAGTCTTAAGACTGTTATTGTTACTCTTCCAAATAATAAAACTATGAAACACAGTAAGTAGTTATATGTTAATTATGTCTCAATAAAAAACTGGGGAGAAAAAGAAATACAGTACGTAGATATATCTCAGAAAATTACTTTTAAGCCACAATACACACATTAAAGAGATGACTTCATGAAAAAGCGGCTAGAATCGCATCTGACATTTATTATTTATTAGCTATTGTTAAAGAACTTTCACAGCCATCATGCTTTAAGTCGCTGGAGGCATCTGATGCAGTGACATTCGGCTTTGCGTTCTTCCTGACACCCATCTCCTCCTTCCCATACCTAATGCATGGAGCTCTGTCATACGATCGTAAGTGCTCTCCCTGTTCCCACATCTTCACCATTTCTAAACTACCTTAAATAATACTGCCAGTCTAACTCTACTCAATTAACACTTTAATTTTTATCACTTAAGTGCAAAAACTTTCCATAGCTCCCCATTACCTACAGTAAGATTAGAGGATCCTTTATCCATCCAGAGCCAAAGACAACAAGGAAGCCCCCACTCAAAAACCCAAAGTTTTGTGGAGAAAATGACATTTGAGCTGTTTTTGAAGGACAGGTAGGATTTCAGCAGGCAGAAATTAGGGGAATGGGCATGATAAACAATGTTACTAAAAGAAAAAGGCAGGAAATTCCAGAAAATTTCAGGGGGTATTGAGACAAGGGGGAGACTGACTAGCCAGTTAAGGGGCATGTGGAGAAAAGGACTGAGTAAAAACGGAGAGAAGCACTTACAGAGACAGAGAAGAGACATTTAAACATATACAAAGGGAGTAGTGGCAAATAAAAAGGTACAGGGAAACAGATACAAACATGAAAAAAAGACAAGGAAAATCGAGATACACACAGAACCGCTGACTTCTTGTTTTTGTAACTTTTAAGTGAAGGAGAAAAGTGCCTCCTGGCATTCAATCCACCAGCTAGATGAACATAAAGGTTCAGGGCAGATACAGAGATTTAAGATTTCTTATGGCCAGTTCAGAATATAAAGACAAACTAAAAAACCTGACACTGAACACTACATAATCTTGTTTATTCTGACTTAACCATTTCACCTACCACTGTCCCCAAGGCTGAGCTACAGCACTTTCTAATAGCTAATGTTTGAACATACCATGCTCCTAATTATAACTGTTTATGAGACTGTTCTCAGGATGGAATGCTTACTCTGCACTCTTGAAAATGCTACCTCCAAAGTTGAGTTTAAACCCCATATTCTCCAGGAACCAGTCCAAAGCAGCGATTTCTTTCCCTTACCAAATTTCCTACAGTACTTACTCTGCACTCATAATCACTTACTAGCTGAATGGTAACACACCATTTCTCGTGCACATCATCTTCTAAAACAATTACAAATTTTGGGGATCACAGATTGTTTCGTGCATCATTCATCTATCTAAAGGCACCTAGGACAGCACTAAGCAAAGTAAGCCTTCTAGTAAACTTATTGAATATAATGCTCTTTAAACATGACCTAGGCTAGAGGTCTACTATTCTGTTTACACTATGATGCATCTTTCATAACTACAGAATCTTCAAATACTTACTGATAAACAGTAGGAAGAGCGCTTATGATAAATCGTCCGCTTAGTCCTACAAATGATAAAGAAAGATTAGAAATAAATACAAGAAAGAACACAGAGCAGGTTTTATATGGGCCAATCACTTACTACTTAAAAGCTGACTCTGAATTACTTGAATACTAATAGACAAAGGATATGAAATTATACCTAAAAATAGTTGAGCTCTGTAACATAAACAATGAAAGAAATTCCAATTATGTACTTAAAGCAACTGAAAAAAAACTATACATTATCTCCATTTAAAAGTATGTAAAATCTGAATATTGAAGACATTTGTGAATATATATGTATAAACATTTGGTCAATTATACTACTATAAGATTACTAGCTGAGTCATGGGACAGCACAATATAACTGCGGTCTTAGGTCTAAAATAAAATGAAACTGCATTTGATAATCAAAAAACAAACACAAGAGTTTCTAAGGTATTGTTAAAAATGGAAAATATTATGAATCTTCCAAAAGGTGGGCAATAACAGTAACAGCTAACATTATCAACCATGTGTTAAACACTAAAATAACTAAGAACCAATCTATGACTCAGTTTTATGATCTGTAAAACGGGGATATTATCTATCCCACAACGTTGTGTAAGGACTACATAATAAATGCAAAACACTTGGAGCAGTACCTGTAACAGTAAGTGCTCACCAAATATTAGCGATTATTACCATTTGGGATGGGGCAGAATCAAGAATCCAGGTTTACTGTGACCAAGAACAGGTAAGAAGAAGCATCTGTAAGGGCAGGGCCTGACACTTCTCTCAGGAGGCCACAACCATGACGGCTTTGTAATTAACAGCCAATGTTCTCAAATCACAGTTAAAGGATTAAATTTGAAACCCAATTGCAGAGATTTAGACGACTCACACACAGGAAATGTGACCTTGACACCACAAAGAACCTCAACCACATGCTCCTTATTCTGAAGCTTGGTACAGATGCAAATGCTGGGTTAACCAATGTCCACCTGAGCCACAATGTTCTAGGACTTCTCACAGACATCTTACATACTAGTCTGGGGCCTGAGATGCAAAGGAAAAAAATCACAGGCAGTTATGTGAGGGAAGAGTCGGGGGAGGGAGATGTCTCCAAGGTCCCTTAGAGCAATACAGAAAAGAAGTAAGCTGCCATACCCAACCAGGGAATCCACTTTTTGCAGCACTTCACACTGAGCCCCCATCAGGGAGGTGGCTAAGTCAGCCTAACCAGCTGAAGACAGTTCTGTTTTTAAAAACTAGTGAAAGGTAGAGTTAAGATCATGCAATGTGGAAAAGAGACCAACAGATCATCCCAATCTGCAACGAAACAAAATTAACCACAGACTTACAGTACCTGGCTGCTCTGTGACATCTACTTTTGCAACATTAACCTCAAGATCTTCTCCCCATTCGGCAAAACTTTCCCATTCTGGTTGAAGATTCTGACAAGCAGGACACCATGGAGCATAACTAAGAAATAGTTTTTAAAAAAGTTAAACACTCTAATATGATCATATTGGGATAAAAATTCTAAAATGTGTAACTTGTGAAGAATATTTTATAGTAAAAACAAGATAGCGAAGTGGTTAATTTTGTGAAGATGAAAAGGTTTTAAGCGTGAGTCGAACACTCTGGAAATCAAGAACTATGAATTGATAATGCTAATCACAGAAAAGTAATTCTGAGAATAAGTTTTTAAGACACAAGGCCTTTTTCAAGTGCAAAACAGCTCTTTAAAAACCTTTGGGGGCTTCCCTGGTGGCGCAGTGGCTGAGAGTCCGCCTGCCGATGCAGGGGACATGGGTTCAGGGGACATGGGTTCGTGCCCTGGTCCGGGAAGATCCCACATGCCGCGGAGCGGCTAGGCTCGTGAGCTATGGCCACTGAGCCTGCGCGTCTGGAGCCTATACTCCGCAACGAGAGAGGCCAAAACAGCGAGAGGTCCGCGTACAGCAAAAAAAACCCAAAAAAACCTTTGGATTTCTCTTATTATAAGGTGGGCAGAAAGCTCAAAGCCAAATTTGGATTTCATCAGTTTTAACAATGGTATGTGCAGGAGTCACAAGTTACAGACACAAACACTAGGCAGGCCAAATGAAATTCTCTGCCCAGACCTTGGTCAATCTCGGGTTTATAAATCTGTGGCCAAGCATATTAGCATTTTAATTACTCTTCTGGTATTCAGTCTTAAAAGGCCCTGAATCTTTCCTAGGATTTGATTTTTCCCATTTTATTGTATATTATCTCCTAATTTACCTCAGTTTTTTTTTTAATGGAACCAGGAAGAATAAAGCCTGTACCTGTTAAACACAAGAGTATAGTTTCTGTACTTCATTCTACTTTCTTGACTTATTTTATGAAAATAAAATTCCTACAAGTAATATGCATTGTGGAACAAGACTAGTACCATACACAAAGCCAAAGTCCATAACAATAAATTGAATTACAATGAAAATATCTCTGTAACATAACTTCTGATCAGGGCAGATTTAACGCAGATAACTAACTTGTAGTAAGAGCTGACTATCATTAGAAATACTAGATCCTTTTTCAAGTTCCTTTTGTTTCTTCGGTGCTTTTTAGAGACAACTTCATATTCAGTAGGCTAGGGGAAAAAAATACTACGGTATGCTCTTAATTTCATACAGATGTTCTAATTCAAATCCCCAAATACTTCACTTCTGACTGCTGTATTGATATAGTTTGATCAAATGAGTCAATAAAAATCTCCTTGAGTAATACTTGACTTAATTTGCATAAAAGTTCATAATCACAATTGCTCAACATATTATTTATGAAACTGTGAATATTTTATGGGCACAATCTAAAACAACGTACTGAGGACAATGAAACCCAAATGCTGTCCCTGGTTATATTTCCTCTCCCCTGCATCTTCAATGGTGCCTGAAAATTCATTTCACTGAGTTACAGATTATATGCATACTATATAAACATTTCCCCTATTGTATCCTGCATATAGATGTTCTATGCCTTGTTTGACTTTATGACTCAGGAGTTACTGATGTGACCTTCTGGGTTCTCCCCTGGGGATGTCCACCTCCACCTCCCTCCTTAACTGGCAACCCAACCACCCAGAAAAACACCCGCCTGAACCCCGTTAAGGAAGGGGGTTATTCTAACAACATCTGCATGTCTACTCTGTGTTAGTTTCTGGAGACAAAAAGAAAGCCACTACGGCAATACCTGGACATATTAATTAAAGCTATTAGATATGTCTCTCATCTGTAAAATGCGGGAAATAATACCTATCTTATAGAATTTGTAAAGAATTAAATATGATAACGTATGTAAAGAGCTTAGAAGTGTTTAGTACAATTAACAGTCAGTAATGGTGTTTTTTACTAATGAATAATGACTAGTACCACTAATAATGCTGCCACCACCGTCACCACCACCACCACCAATTTCGTGACTAAAGCACAGGCAGACAGTTTATTATCTACCGATGCAGGAGGGACGTTATTATAACGGAATCACCACAGACACATGGTTTTATCTGAACAATAAATGACGAACTGACGCTCTTTTAAGAGTTTATAATCACACTCATACATTAATTTTTTAATGCAATACCATTTAGAGAGGCATAAGAGTAATAACCCAAGACATTCAGTACTTTGCAAAAACACACACCCAAAAGAAAAATGAAACGTGGGCAAAGAAAAACAACAACAACAAATGATAAAGGGAACGCAGATGTTTAAATAACGCAACTTGAATTTACTTGGCATTTACAGTAAAAATATGCCTAATCCATAAAATAACATTTAAAATAAACTAAAAGAGTCTCAAATTCTAACACTGTAAGTGGACTACTTTTTAAGGATAATGAGACAAAAAGAGAGGAGAGGTTCACTCAGTTTCCTCCTTTGTAGAGTTTGGTGAAATAAGTCTGTTAAGTCTGTGAAGACTCATTCCAAAATAAATAATTGTATAGGAACTAGACAGACCAACCACCCTCAACCCCAAAGCCATGAAGAAAGAGAATTCAAAGCTGAACGTAACCTCACAGGTGCACCTCAGTCCTAGCAACCGAACTAGGGTGCACACTTCAGAAGAAACTTAACAGAGTATCCCCTGGTCAGAAACGAGGAGGGGGTGGGACCACGGCTGCGGAGGATCCCAAGAGGAGTTAGGGGATCGCGAGGAGTCGGGGGCTCCCGACCCGCGCCTCAGAGTCGCAGTCCCGGGGAGTCTGGGACTCGCATGAGACGAACGGGGATGAAATCGGGGGTCCAGACTTGGAACTAGGACCCCAGCCCACCGAGGGGGCCCCGAGACCACCGCCCCGCACTCACAATTCTATCATCCACTCTCCTTCCAGCAACTCTCTCCAGTTCTCGTCCGTGATGATCCGCACGTCGCTCCGCCGCCCGTGGGTCCAGGGAGCCCCCCAAAGCAACAGCAGCAGCACTGCCACGGGGATCCTGAGACTCCCGGAGGGCGCCATGTCGGCCGCCCGCCCACCCACAACGAGCGCGGCAACCCTCACTTCGCGCAGCGGCTCCGCACTTCCGCCCGCGCGGGCTGATCGGCTCGTGCGCATGAGCGCGGCGGCACTCGCGCGCGCGCGCGCGCGCCTTGAGAACTCTCAATGCGCATGACGAAGCCAGGTCCTAGTGGGTTGGTGGAGCAGAGAAAAAGGGAGCGCTCCTGTTCCCTAGTGCGCATGACAGAAAAGGGATCGCTCGTCCTGTCTTCTGCTACGCTCTAAACCGTTTTGGAGGAAGAGTGAACGGAAGGCGTGGTATAGAAAGGGGGCGGGACTTCGGAGAGGAACGGCTTAAAAATTTGCCTCAGGATTTTGGCGCCGAATGATTGGCATTTATACTTAAAGGAGGCAGTAGGTAAGTTTACACTAAAGCAGTTTCCAGTTAAATGCCCGTCAGAGTTTTCTTTTGTTTCCTTTGAAAATTTTTGTTGGGAAGCTAATGGATGTTTATGAGTCCGAATATTGGTTTACTTCTGGGGGATTATAGACTGTAAAGGGGTACAAGAGAACCTTATGGGTTCACTTTGTATTCTGTATCTTGGTCCGAACAATGCTTACACAGGTCATACCTAAAAAACCATTGAGAATGTATAGCTCAGGGAACTCTACTCAGTGCTCTGTGGTGACTTAAATGGGAAGGAAATCCAAAAAAAGGGGATATATGTATACTTATAGCTGATTCACTTTGCTGTACAGCAGAAACTAACACAACATTGTAAAGCAACTATACTCCAATAAAAATTAATTTAATCAAAAAAACAAAAAAACATTGAGCTGTACGTGTTTAGTGCACTTAGGATGTGTATTATGCACTTTAGGATGTATATGATCCCTCAGTTTTTTGTAATGCAGTAGTTACAGAGATGCTAAATCAGAAATTCAAAATGGAACAAGACGCAGGCTTGTAACGAATATTTAAGGGGCTTTTTCCTCAAGCATTTGTAAATACAAATGCAAATCAAAATGTGCACTGTCTTTAGAAAGTATTAATCAGTCAAATGAAAATAGTTGCCATTATACCTCCTCACTTCGCATTCTCTCCTAAACTCAATCCAGTTGGCTCATTTCCCCACCCCTTTGCTGAAAGGCCCTTTCTAGGACACTAGTAATCTGCGTGTTAACATTATTTTTACTTGACTGCCAGCAGCATTCTGTCACCACACCCTTCTTGAAAGGCACAGTGTGGTGCCTCACTTGCTTTTTTTTCTCCTCACTAGCTGCTCCTTCTGAAATTCTTGGCCGTCCTCCCGTACTTGACTTCCAGACATTGGCTTTCCCCAGGATGCTGTACTGGCCCCCTCCTCTTCATATCCACGTGCTCCTCCAGATAACCTCAATTCTGGCTTTAAAAGCTATCAATATGCCTGTCGTTCCAGCCCTGACCTTTCTGGGAACTTCAGACATGTATGTGGTTAAAAAACAAAAGTCAACCAAGTAAATTTAAAGATCTGATTGTCTTGGGACTTCCATGGTGGTCCAGTGGTTAAGACTGCCTTCCAATGCAGGGGGTGCAAGTTCGATCCCTGGTTGGGGAGCTAAGATCCCACATGCTCGTGGCCAAAATCTCAAAACAAAAAACAGAAGCAATATTGTAACAAATTCAATAGAGACTTTAAAAATGGTCAACATCAAAAAAAAAAATCTTAAAAAAAAAGATCTCATTGTCTTTATTCGGTGATTCATGAATCAGGCAGCATCCCATCTAGCAACTAGAAGGGCTCTCCTAGAGGTTATACAAAATGGAAGGCGTTTATAGGAAGAAGGGTGAGGTAAGGGAGTGATTAGCAAAAGAAAAGAAAATTATTTTTTAGGCCTTTTTAGGAGAGGAGAACTGGCAAGGGTTTTATCATAAGATTGCCTCTTCTTTAAGTCTGGATTTGCTCTCATGGGGGGCAAATGACACCATTTTAAGACTGTTATTTCTTTTTAAACAATATTCAACCCGTGGCTGGACATCTCTTGGATATCTAATAGGTAGCTTAAACATAACAGGATCAAAAATAAAATTCTTGATTCTCCCTCTCCTGGTTTTCCATCTCAGTTAAGAGCCCCAAGGTCCATCTGGTTGCTCAAGACAAAAATTTACATTTTAATTCTTCATTATTGTTCTCTCTTTTCACCCCCTCTTCATGTACTCCATCAGTAAGTCCCATGAACGCTACCTTCTCTAATTTCCATCTCCACAGCCAATACCCTAGTCCAAGTTTCCATCATCTCTTGCCTCGACAATAGTAGATTCCTAACTGATCACCCTGTGTCCTCTCTCTTGCTTCTCTAAATAAGATCTAGCAATTTCTCCTTAAAACCCTCCAAGAAGTTCCCACTGCACTAAACATTAAAGCCAAACTCCTTAAACTCATTACTATGGCTTAAAAAGTCCTACATGATCAGACATCTGCCCAACTGCTACCTCGTGTAGTACTGGCTCTCCTGCCTACCCTGCTACACTCCAGGGGGTCCCTGAATACATCAAATTCATTCTCACACTAGAGAATTTGCATTCGCTGTTCCCTCTGCCTACTTCCCCGCCGGTCTTCACATCACTCTTTTTTTTTTTTTCCTAATATCACTAGGCCATCAGTACTTTATTATTATTTTTTTAACATCTTTATTGGAGTATAATTGCTTTACAATGGTGTGTCAGTTTCTGCTTTATAACAAAGTGAATCAGTTATACATATACATATGTTCCCATATCTCTTCCCTCTTGCATCTCCCTCCCTCCCACCCTCCCTATCCCACCCCTCTAGGTGGTCACAAAGCACTGAGCTGATCTCCCTGTGCTATGTGGCTGCTTCCCACTAGCTATCTATTTTACGCTTGGTAGTGTATATATGTCCATGCCTCTCTCTCGCCCTGTCACAGCTTACCCTTCCCCCTCCGCATATCCTCAAGTCCATTCTCTAGTAGGTCTGTGTCTTTATTCCCGTCTTGCCCCTAGGTTCTTCATGACCATGTTAAATGGAATATTTTAATACATGGTCTTTTGTGACTAACTTCTTTTTTTAGCATAATGTATTCAAAGTTTGTACATGTTGTAGCATGTATCAGTACTTCATTTCTGTTTATTACTGAGTCACATTTCATTTTATGAATATATCTGTTTATCCATTCATCAGTTGATGGACATTTGTTCTGCTCTTTGGCTGTTTATGAGTAATGCTACTATCAACATTCACAAGTTTTTGCAGGGACATAATGTTCTCATTTCCCCTGGGTACACATCTTGAAATGGAAATGCTTGTGGTGTACTATCTAAGAAACTGACTATTGCCCCGTCCAGGGTAACCGATGTTTTTTATCTAAGAGTTTTATAGTTTTAGTTCATACATTTGTGTCTTTGATCCATTTTGAGTTAATTTTTATGTATGGTGTGGGATAGGGGGTCCAACTTCATTCCATAGCATGTGGATAGCCAGTTGTCCCAACACCATTTGTTGAAAAGACTATTCTTTCACCATTGGATGGTCTTGGCACCCTTGTCAAAAATCAGTTGGCCATAGATGTTCGAGGGGGGTTATTTTTCCCCTGACTTCAGTTCTATTCCATTGATCTGTGTGTCTCTCTTGATACCAATAGCACACTCTCTTTGTTACTTTAGTTTTGAAATTGGGAAGTATGAGTCTTCCAACTATGTTCTTTTTCAAGATTATTTTACCTATTCCGGGACCCTTGATTTTCCATATAAATTTAAAAATCAGCTTGTCAATTTCTATTAAAAAGTATACGGGGATTTTGCAAGAGAATGCGTTAAATCCATAGAACAAATTGGGGAGTATTGCCCTTTTAACAATATTCAGCCTTCCAGCCCATGAACATGGGAAGTTTTGTCATTTATTTGGGTCTTCTTAATTTTTTTCAGCAATGTTTTATAGTTTTCAAATTCTAAGTTTTGCACCTCTTTTATTAAATTTATTCTTAAGTATTTATTCTTTTTGATGCTAATGTGAATGGAATTGTTTTCTTAGTATCATTTTTGTTTTGTTCATTTCTGCTGTATAGAATTACAGTAGAATTTGGTATTTATCTGTATCCTGCAGCTTTGCTGAATGTGTTTATTAGTTCTAAAAATTACTAGATAATTTTTAGTGGATTCCTGAGGATTTTTTATATACAAGATTATGTGATCTACAAGTAGAGATAGTTTTACTTCTCTGTTTCCAATTTGGATGCCTTCTATTTAATTCTCTCACCTAATTTCCCTGGCTAGACCTCCAGTACAATGTTGAATAGAAGTGGCAAGAGTAGATATCCTTGTCTTGTTCCTGTTCTTAGGGGGGAAGCATTTAGTCTTTTATTATTAGTATGATGTGAGTGTGGGTTTTTCATAGATGCCCTTTATAAGGTTGAGGAAGTTTCCTTCTGTTCCTAGGTGGTTGTGTATCCTGAAAGAATGTTTAATTTTATCACATGCTTTTTCTGCATTTATGAAGATGATCAAGTAGTCTCTGTCCTTTATTCTATTGATATCATTTATTAATTGACTTTTGAATGTTAAACCAACCTTACATACTGCTCACCATATGACAGGCCAGTAAACCTAGAGATGAGTTGTTGGGGCACAGAATAGTGACTTTATTTGGAAAGCCAGCAGACCGAGAAGACGGTGGACTAGTGCCCCAAAGAACCATCTTGCCTGGGTTTGGATGCTAGTTTCTTTTATAAACAAAGAGGGGGAGATGAGGAGGTAAAGTAAAAAAGGTAATACACGATAAGTTGTTGCAATATTTCCTGGTTCCAGCTAGACTCTGGAGGAGATGCGGTAATTTCTTCTTCCCTACAGCAATTCACAGGTGAGCCTGGTCAGGATGTTTCCTGTGAGCTTAAACAAAGGTATTTTTGCTTGACGTTCAGGCATGGGCGGCAGGGTACCTGGAAATGGGCCATTATGTATACTTTAAGCTATAGGCAACATCCCTTTAGTGATTAACTTGTATTATAGCAAAAGCAATACAATACAAAGGTTAAAGTAAAAGAAACAGATCCAATATGGAGTCAGATATGTTATTCCCTATGACAGTTATGGTGTTTAGTTTTTTTTGTATATTGCTAGGTTCAGTTTGCTAGTATTTTGTTGAGGATTTTTATATCTGTAT